TATAATGCAATTAAAGTACTAGAATTTTTTAAATCCCAACTCTAGTTACGTTAGGAAAAATGTGAAATTGTATGCTAATCTATGAAAACGCACATCACTCCTTATATGTCGTTAGTGAAGCGTGTATGACTAACCGACACACTAATTTAGGACTATAAATTTGAGGTGATGGATAAATTGAAATTATCATTATTGATGGAGCGTGTGTGGTTAACTGACACATTAATTCGAGATGATAAATGACCTCGAGGTTGTCAAGCGTGTTTGCATGGTTATTCACATCTTAATTGTGATCATCAACATCCCAGTCACAATTAGTAAGAACATAATCGAGATTAAACATGCCATTGATAACATTCAACGAATCTCGTAAGATCTAGGAGTTTCATGCGATTGAAACTGGTGAGATGATTATACCTACCTAAATACATTCGAATTTGATTATGAAATCCCACTACAAAGGTCGAATCGAAAATATGGATCATATCCTAATTTAATTATGGATTAACAATTAAGGATTAAAATCAACTAAATTGAATTCTTCATTCTCTTAATTTTAGATGTCAAATCAAGATAATAATGGTCTTCATCTGTGACATCCCCAAAATCACGGCCAGAAAAGACCGATTTTGTTTATGCTTTATAAAAATCAGAGTACTTCATTTTATAAAAAGGTTGCGGAATTTGTTCCCAGAAAAACATGGTAAATACGTTATTAAAACATTTTCGAAGAAACGTATTTATTTCATTTTAAAACGTTTGGGATGTCATCGTTAATATAGGAACATAAGCATAAACAGAACTTACAATTATTCACATAGTGGTCTACATCTCTTTAAATCTCTCAGTGTAATGTCATTTCATATCAACACCTATGATATAAATAAACTGAGTGTGTCAGGTTGGGAAACCTGGTGAGCACATAGGGATTTCAATCCCACAATTTTATACCATATATATAGTTTAAAATTCACAAAATATACAATTTCACCATATATATATATATATATATATATATATATCAACTCTTATCCCACCCCGTCGGTCCTCGCAACGAGGCTATCCATACTCTCGGACCTAAGATTAGTCGTTTTACCTACTTCATACTCTCGGATCAGAAATGAACGAATTTACCAAATCCATACTCTCGGACTAGGGACGAATGACTAATCCATACTCTCGGATTAAAGATGAATGATTATGCCTAATCCATACTCTCGGACTAGGGACAATAGCTAATCCATACTCTCGGATTAACAACGAATGATTATGCCTAATCCATATTCTCGGACTAGGGACAATGACTATGTCTAATCCATACTCCTGGATAAGTGACATATACTAACTTCTATTCTTTGAGTTTAACTCACTTGTACTCGTAAGAATATACTACCCAATATTCCTCATATTTAATTTAGGTCTACTCTTTATCCTAAATTATCAAATATAATCAGGTATGTTCTTTAACACGAATTTCAAGCAACATCAATTAACTCGCACATAAACATATAATTAATACTTCAATCAATACTTGTATTAAAATCATGTTCATGAAAGGGACTATGCACTCACCTGAGAAGGTGGTGACTCGGTACTCGGACAGCGCTTCGTTTACTTTAAAATAATTTCCTTCGACGAAACCTAGTATTATCACCAATAGATTTTAGTCTATTATTCGCCGAGACTAATTAATAGTCTAGCTATTATTACTATTATATAAGCGTTAAAAAAATACTTATATAACCCATAATAATAGCCCAAGTATTTATTATATGTTCTTAATAACGTTAATATAATTAAATAAAAACTATATTAAAAATAGCGTAGGCGTAGCTCACTTACAGCGGGTTTTATAGAAAACCAGGCTTTGCTTGGAGCAGCGTTTCCGAGCCGAAAAGCTCTTCTTCTCGGAGCCGTCGAGCACTCCGGGGCTTCCGCCTCGTGCTAGGGAGGTTCCCTAGGCTTTTCGGGGGATTTCGGGGCTAGAGAGAGGTTCTAGAGAGAGAGTAAAGAGAAGAAAGAATGGGAAAGGTGTGAAGAAAATGAGGGTGGGAGAGGTGGTATTTATAGGGTGAAAATGGCTGAACTTGGTGCCACATGTCACCATCTAGTGGCAAGACTTGGGGAGAAAGCAATGGCCAAGATTGTGCCACATCACCCATTTTCGCACAACACACTTCCGACTTCTAAAATCCGTAACTTTCACATACGACCTCCGTTTTTGACGTTCTTTATATCCACGCGTAGGTAAAAATAATATCTACAACTTTCATTTTGACTCCGTCGGCTAATTCTCGATCTTAAATTTAACAGTACAAGACGTTTAGACTGTTAAATGACCGCGAAGAATTCGTAACTCCTTCATACGGACTCCATTTTCGTCTGTCTTTTTACCGTTGAGTTCCTATTAATGAGATCTTCAACTCTCATTTATTTCACGTAAGCCAAAAACCGCTCGAACTAAAATTCGAGTTTCGGGCTGTACACTGCTAAGCCGAATCTTAAAAATCATAACTTCCTCATACGAAGTCAGATTTGGGCGTTCTTTTTATCGACGCTCTTAGTTTAACATATTCTACGACTTTTGTTTAGATTTATAAGGCTAAAAAGTCTTCTATCGTAAATTCACTATTTACGTCTTCCGGTGCCGTGCCGGTTTTGCCGTAAAACTTCGGTGGGCCATAACTTTTTCGTTATAACTCGGATTTCGGCGTTTTTTATATGTACGGAAACCTTGTGACATATTCAAAAACTTGGTTAAGACTATTCATTCTAAATAATCTTTTGTCGAAAAGTCATTTTTGACCCCTATTGCCTCTAAATTGACTAGCCCGGATCTGCGGGCGTTACATCATCGTTCTTATGAAAATGGTTTTCCTCAATCTTCTGGAGATGATCTTCCACTTTCAAGCCAAAGTGAACATGTATTCCCTTCATTAGTTATATGTTTTGAATACATTTTAGGATCAATAACCACCTTAATTAGTTACAAATCAGTTGAGTTACACAACCCTAAACATAGGCTGGGGGGTGATTTTTTATAAGTTTTGGTTCTATTTGATTATACACCCAAAAATCGTTACCGGTACCAAACTATTACCGTATCCTTATAAGTTGGTTCGATTCTCGGTTCCTTGAATTTCTAGTTTTTGGTGTAGGTTTTCTTGGTTTTGGGTTGTTTTTTTTCCTGTTTCGGAACTGATCTCATCCTTAGAGAGTTGTATGGGAAGCTACATATGTTATGGCCACCCATTACGTATTAATTTGTTTATCTTAAAAATATATGAGAAATCTTTTGGTGTGCCAACAACCCCCTTATTCTAAAGGTACAAAAAATATAGTTTTCAAAGAAGTGTTTAAGAGATTTTGATAAGTTAAGGTAGACTAACTTTAAAAAAATGACTTTTCTTTGTGCGAGACAACTATAAGTTGTTTTTTAAAAAATTCTATCAAAACTTTGATTTTAACTTATACAAAGAACAACATATAAGTTATCATGCTTGCATATCCATCATTTGAGTCTCCAACAATTATTCCAATAATTACATATCCGATTTGATCTATGGACGTGAAACCAATAGTAAATTAAAAGAACAAATTACTGAAATAGCCCCTGTGGTTTGGCTAAAGTTGTGCGTTTGGTCCATATGTTTTGTTTTGCACTCGAACCATCCCCACGTTTTCTTTTTATTACCCGCCTGGTCCCTGGGTTTGTTAGTCGTCAATTCCAAACGTTAAGTCCCCCACATGCTTCGCACATGAGGGGTATTTTCATCATTTTATATACAAAATCTATTAGACCACCCTTAAACCCTGATTCTCTCTATTTTCAAATACGCCCTTTCTTCGTCTCTTTCATTTCCTCTTATGTGAATAGTCGATCAACCCTAATGGAAAAAACCTGCAAGTGTGGTCAAGTTGGTGTGATACGAAGTTCGACTACCAAGAAAAACCCTGAAAGACTTTTCTATTGTTGTACTGGGAAGGTAAGTGCAATTTCTTCTTAAGTATATCTATATATCACATACCTTTAATACACAATAAATTACTCAAAATGCAGGGAGTAAAATGTGGTTTCATATATTGGGTTGATGACGACAACTTTAATGGTGAAAAAACTGAAAAAAGTATTTCCCCTGATTTAAAGAAGTCATTGGATGAACTTCAACTTGAGAATATGGCCTTGAGATTGTTATTAGTGTTCAGTTGGGGTTTTTTTGGGTCAATTTTAATTTACAAGCTTTAATTTATGCTATCAATGTACTTATCTTTTGTTTCATCAGGGTAGTAATGTGATTGAATGACAATGTGTGAATGACTAGAATTGTCTATTGGAATGCAATTTTCTTTTGGAATGGAATTGATTGTTTTATAATGGAATGGAATTTAGTGGTTGTAATGAAATCGAATTGAGTGGTTTGTACTGGAATGCAGTTGATTGTTTTATAATGGAATGGAATGGAATTTAGTGGTTTGTAATGGAATGGAATTGAGTGGTTTGTACTAGAATGCAATTGATTGTTTTATAATGGAATGGAATGGAATTGACTGTTTTACAATGGAATGGAATTGAGTGGTTTGTAATGGAATGCAATTGACTGGTTTTCTATTCGAATGGAATTGAATTGAATTGAATAGAATTGAATGGTATTGAATAGAATTAAATGATATTGAATTAGAATGGAATTGAATTGAATGATTGAATAGAATTGGATGATTGATGGAAATGAATTGAATGATTGAATAGAATTGAATTGAATGATTGAATTGAATTAAAACACTAACATAGCAACATATTATAGCACTAATTGTTCATACCGTAATTAAAAATAGAGATACATTAAAATTCATACCATACATAGACAACAGGTCCCATAAGTCATACCATATTTGTTGATAACACAGACACAAAACATAATGACAAATATAACAAACACAAAAGATCATAACACTATAATTGGTTATAACACAGATACAAAATATGATAACACAATCATAACTTAAGCAATACTTTTCCCTTTCTTCCCAGCCTTCCTTGTCCTACTTGAAATTCCATCACATGCACTTTGAGTTCCACTTTGCTTACCACCACCTACACTTTGAGCTTTCTTCCCAACATCCCCTTTCTTGCTTGAAGTACCATCACCTGCACTTTGATCTTTCTTCCCATCCTTCCCTTTCTTGATTGAAGTACCATCACCCATACTTTTAGCTTTATTCCCAACCTTCCCTTTCTTGCTTGAACTAGCATCACATGCACTTTGACCTTTGCAACTTCTTTTATTATGACCAAGCTTTTTGCATTTTGAACATGTCACACACTTGTCCTTCCTTGATGCCGTACCACCCTTGTGTTTCATATTGGGCATCAATTTGGTCAGTTTCAGTTTCTTTTGTTGGCACAACATCTACTTTACTTGATCCAATACAATCCCCTGTTTCAGTTTCCTTCCATTCCAAAAATAGCCTTTTACTACATGAAGGTTGATCAAAGATTTCTTCTATCCTAACTTTACTAGGGGTAGATGACATTGTATATGTATGCAACACTGATTTACCATGTTCAACATAAACTTCAATCAGTTTATGCTTACCCACGTATGTACCGAAATGGTTAATGTCATTGTTACTAGCCAATGCAAACAACCCAAAGTCCAAATCTGAAAAGGGTCTTTTGAAGTGGTAATAAAGCAACTTACCCTCCTCAACACAACTTAGGGTCTCCATCATCTCATCAATATCATGTACACAGAACTCATCAATGTCCAATAGATCAACGTATTTTTCTTTGCCCTTGACGTACCTCCTTCCAAGAAACTTCGTAAACTCTCCACCATATAATAATCTGATGGAGAAGATAGTTGGATGACCAACTGTAAAAGAGAAAGCTTCAACTTATTAGCTTGAAATTTGTAAGTGATAAATTTAACTTTTGAAAATAAGGGGTTACCGTAATGTTTTTCAACGTCTATTTCTTCCATGTTTGCTCTAATCCTCCAACCCACCATTGTTGCTTCGATGATTCTTGCAAAATTTTGAGGAGTTAGGGTTTCCACTCGATTTTGATGAGTTACAGGTTAAGTGTGAGAGAGTGTGTGTGTGAGAGGGAGGTGGTCGTAAAATGATCGGAATGAAGAAACGATTGACATTGCATTTAGGCGCCATGTATAAAATGATGAAAATACCCCTCATGTGCGAAGCACGTGGGGGACTTAACGTTTGGAATTGACTACTAACGGATCCAGGGACCAGACGGGTAATAAAAAGAAAACGTGGGGATGGTCCGAGTGCAAAACAAAACATAGGGACCAAACGCATAACTTTAACCAAACCACATAGACTATTTTAGTAATTTGTTCAAATTAAAAAACTCATTTTTTAAACTTTCCCAACACCATGTGAATGTTGAAGAGATAAGAAAGAGAGTGAACATATATGATAAAGAAAGAGACAAAATTTTGTTTTCAAAGTTTATAAACATGAAAATGATACATAAAAAGACGATTTTTCCCTCATATGCTTGGCACGTGACATGATTTAACGGAAATCGGCAAACCAAACGACGTTTGAAGAGAGGGACCATCCAAAACATGTGATAAAACGATACATGTCCTCACGTGTTAACATTGATAAAAATAGACTTGGTTCAGAAAAAACACATAACCCAGGGGACTTAGTATGTAATTTACTCATAAAACTCGAATGACTTTCAAATTAAATCGAAAAATTGACACATGGAAAAGCTATGCATCACTTCAGTCTGCTGCAGCGGCGCCATAAATAGCCCTAACCAGCACAAATAGTTTTCGTCGGCGGCGGCTCATTCAATTACGCATATCAATTCACCTCTCACAGGTTCTTCTCTCCCTCTCGCCGGTTTCTTTGTTATTGTTACTTGGAATCGGCTATGGTTTATCAACATTTCAGCTCAAAAGTTGAATTGCCTCCTTTTCTTTTTCATATGTGGTTTTATCATTCGATTAGCGTGTTATGACTTTAATTGATTCAGTTCCAGCTTACGATTTCACCATCGTAACCTAATTAGTTGGTTTATTGCGTTATGCCGATCAGATATTTTTGAAATCGTTTGATTTGATAATCCTGTCAGCTTTTAAAAGTAGTAAGGGTCTGAAATCGGATATGGATGCGATTGTACTCCAACAATCAAAAGAGTAACCAGTTTGTATATCAGATTTTCAGTCTGAATGAGTGCACTGAAACTGTTTGTTGAAATGTCTGTCTCTTCTTATAACGTATAGTGTGTAACTGATACTGTATCTTAGTAACAAGTAGCGTTGCTGATTAAGTTTGTTTACTGCAATTTCAGGTTTCAGAAGACATAAAGATGAACGCTTACAAGGCTTACAAAGCATGTGCTCCAATAGCATGGAGTCCCAACCTCTACATAACTCTGGTGAGGGGAATTCCAGGAACCAGGAAACTTCACAGGCGCACTTTAGAAGCATTGCGTTTAGGAAAATGCAATCGAACTGTTATGAGATGGAATACTCCTACTGTTAGAGGAATGCTTCAACAGGTTCTTAAAGACTTAAACAATGCATTTGTATCAGATGAAGTTTTTCTTTGGTTCTATATCTAGATTGATTAATCATTAATCCATCTAATGTTTTATCAAGGTTAAAAGATTGGTTGTAATTGAGACTGAAGAAATGTTTAAAGCACGCAAAGCAAAAGAAGCACAACACCATGCCTGTCGTCCACCTTTGGTTGTGACCCATGTTCCTGTTCCTGCAAGCAACTCTTCTCAACAGGCTGCTTAAGTCATAAGTGCTTAATATCTTTTTGTGTAAGTACTTAATTTACTTCACATCGTTTGATTGAGTTAATTAGTTCAAATCCTATTGTGAAATTTATATGCTATAGATTGTTTTTGTGTTTGACATCACCCTCTTCTCGTCTCTTCTCTTTCATAATTGTGTGTTTTTATTAATTTGTCAAAATTCAGGATTTCCTTTTGGGTATCAGATGCACATTTCAAGCTGATGTGTGAAAGGTGGTCTAGGTTCTTTACAGATAAAGCACTAATATCCTGTAGTTGATATCATTTGCAGATCATTCAGTTTAGTTAAGGTACGCATAATATGAAGGAAAGCTACCTTTTTTTTTTTTTGAAAATGCATAAATTTGTAATGTTCTACTTCTACTCTTCTAGCTATAGACCTATTCCTTATATGAAATACTTGATTTGTTTCTTGGGATATTTATAAATGCTAAGATGAATAAGTACCAAATTCATACCTTGAATCTTCTAAAGAATATTATAATCTTTACATTTTGTGGTAGTATTCTAGTGTTAGAGCAATTAGTTGTCTTAGGTGGATGCTAGTGGTGCAACTTGAGCAAAATGGAATCAATTTTTCCATAACCATATCCAAATCTACATTAAAAAATGTCCAAAAACCTTACATCAATGTTTATATTCATGGTTACAACATAGACAATCACAAATTAATTTTTGAAACAACAATACAAATTCATCCAATTACCAAAATCCAAGATATAAACTAATTAAAAGTTATGCAATTATGCAATTTTAAGAATGCTAAAGAGAAAGGGAATTACAAAGAAAGGGTGTGTATTAATAATATCTTACAAATACCCTTTTCACCAATCTTATAAAAACAACTCAAATCAACATAAAACATCTACCACCAAAACTATATAAACTATCTAAACACACACACACACACAAACACACACACTCTAAGCTTCTTCCTTCCCACCCATAACAGCCTTCTTCACTTCTACATCATCAACCATTTCAATACCCCAATTCTCAATCTCTTTTTCACTTTTAGGCCCAATAAAGTTTTGCACTTTATACTGATGCCTCGATGCCAAAACCAAAAAAGCGAAAAAGTTTATCGCTCCAAGAATCGCAAGCAACCAATAGAAATTCTCCAATTTACCCTTGTTCAAATTATTCGTAAGCCAACTCCCATTAGTCGCCATATCAGTCAACGACACCAATACACTGCTCATGAAATACCCCATAGCCAAAGTACTCAAAAACAACCCTGTACTCATGGACTTCATCCTCTCGGGTGCTTCCCTTATGAAAAACTCAAGTTGTCCCACATAAGCAAACGCCTCACCCGCCCCCACCAAGAAAAACTGAGGAACCAACCAAAAAGCCGAAATTTCCATCATTTTTCCATGCATTACCCTTCGTTTCTTTTCAACAACTGCAGACGCCACCATACCTACAACCGATAAAACAAGCCCGATCCCAATTCTCTGTAAACTTCTCAACCCTTTTGGATCGTGAGTTATCTTTCTCGCTATAGGGACAACCACCCTTTCGTTCAGAGATGTGAATAGGAGAATTGATATGAAGAGAAATACCGAAAACGACCCTGCGGGTATGCTAAAACCCGCGACGTTTCGGTTCATTAACGTAGCTTGCTCTATTGTGAAAGTGTTCATTTGTGAGTACACAGTCCAAAAGAGAATACATGTTGACCATATCGGGATTAAATTTATGACCATTTTGACCTCTTCAACTTGTGTCACGGTTGACACTATCCATGGATTGTTTCGGTTTTCTTCTGAAGACGTGTATTCATCTAGTATTGCGGCCTTGTCAAGACACCTATAATAATATAAAGGAAATAAATACATTTTTTTATAAAAGCCTAGCTGATAGCTGAAAAGCTAACTGATAAATAAGTACATTATTGTGAAAGTCTCAGTAGCTTTTTAAAAAGCTAACTTTTGGTTTGCCAAACATGACAACTTAAAAAAGCTCGAAAAATAAGTTATAGCTTATCAGCTAGCTGTGGCGAGCTAAACACAGCCTGAGAACATTATTTATAAGTGGTTAAATTATACCTGAATCTCTTTGTGTGTGGAACTTTTGAGTTGCTATAATCATTTAAAAACTCGGGATTTGAATAAGTCTGCTTCCGATTTTTAATAGCCAAAAACACGACTCTCCAAATAACCGTCAACGGGCTTCCTTGCGGTTTCTTAAATCGATACAAAGCGGTCCCACAAACCAAGACAACAACCGCCACAATCATCGTACCCGCCGAAATCCCGTACCCCCAACCGCGTCCCACATTGTCTTGTATATACACCAACACAGTCACCGCAAAAAGGGACCCGAGACTTATACAGAAATAAAACCGGTTAAAAAAATAAACCATTTTTTTCTCCTCTTTAGGGTCGGAAATGTCAAATTGGTCTGACCCGAAACCCGAAACGTTTGACTTTATACCCCCTCCACCTAACGCGATTGTGTAAAGTGCAACATAAAGCATTGCGAGTTGGCTTCCGGAAGCTTCTATGCATTGTTGTTTCCTAGGTTGATCACAATGAGGTGGCCTCATGCCTGGAATGCTTGTTGCTAGTGTCAACAGTGTCACACCCTGTCATATGTCACACCAAAATTTTTTAATTTTTTTAAAAAAAATATTTTTTTTACTATTAAAGTAAAAGTAAAGAAAAAGTTTGTAGCCTAATTGACCCAAAATGGGTTTAAGTTTAAGATCCTTATTCAACCTAAATTTAGGCAAAGTAGTTTCACTGGTTAATATTGATAATGCTGTTTTGTTTCCTTATATTTCATTTTTGCAAAAGCAGTTGCATATAATTTTATGGAAAATGGGTTGTAGATTTGTGGGATAACAACAAATTACAAAACCACCATTGTAATTTTGATTTGATTGAAAAAAACGTAGAGGAAAATCGGAAATTACACTTTTTGGTCCCAAAAAGTTTTTTCTTGCAATTTCCCAAATAAAATGAGTATAATTTTGGGACCAAATTTGCAAAAGTCAGCTATGCTAAGGGACCAAAAATGCTACGAGTACCTCCAATGAAAAAAAAAAGACAAATTACAATAGAACTTTTTGGGGTCAAAATTGCAAAAATCAGGTATACTCTGGGACCAAGAATGTAAGTTTACTCTAAAAGTAGAAATGGAAATGGTTAATTAATTTGGTCTAGATTTGTACATAGAAAGAAAAATGAAGGACGAAAATGA